AATTCGATCCAGACACTGGAGAAATGGTGTGCTATGGCTATGAAGCTGGAGGTAATGGGTACGATGCCAGTTGTGACATCGTGGTGTACACGATTGACAAGGATGGGAAGAAAACTGAGGAATGCTGGTACAAAGCACCATTCTGTGGGATGATACACGATTGCGCTATCACGAAGAACTACTTGATCCTACCACTCACACCAATCAAGGTCAATGCTGAAAGGCTCAAGAAGGGCGGCAATCACTTTGCGTGGGACCCAGACGAAGACCAGTGGTACGGCATCGTGCCTCGTCGCAATGGAAAGCCAGAGGATATTGTCTGGCTACGCTCTGACAACGGTGTGTATACCACTAGCGATATCTGGACATGCGCTGACGATAGCAGGCTTTCACGGTCACGTCGCTGGCTCCTACGAAGACTCCTCTGGAAACATCGTTGTCGACCTAACCATAGCTTCAGACAACGTCTTCTTCTTCTTCCCACCAGACAGCCAAGCAGATACACCTACCACCTTACTCCAACGCAACAAGCTCGTCTCGGACACCTACCGTTGGGTCTTCGATCCCAAAACTTCAACCAACACACGGGTACAGCCTCATAAGCTCTTTGGTATCAACGGCGAGTTCTCCCGCATCGACGATAGAGTTCTGACGAAGAAGTACAATCACTTCTGGCAATGTAACATCGACTCGAGCAAACCGTACGACTTCCCGAAGTGTGGCCCGCCCGCCGGTGGTCTCTTCAACGTATTGGGACACTATGAGTGGGACAGTGGGAAGAAAGATACCTTCTGGGCAGGACCGACATGTACGTTCCAGGAACCCGTCTTTGTCCCGAAGGCTTCGTCTTCTCCATCAAACTTCGTGGAAGGCGAGGGATATATCATGGCTTTACTCAACCATCTCGATGTTTTGCGCAACGACATCCTCATCTTCGATGCGCAGAACCTCTCCCAGGGGCCGCTGGCTGTCATTCATCTACCTGTCAAGCTACGTCTGGGTCTACACGGTAATTTCATCGAGCAAAAAGACATTGATGAATGGGCCGAGAAACGCAAGGAGGGCGGTGAGGTCGGGCCGGCGGTACCGGCGAAGGAGATGTTACCGTGGCAGAAGAAGATGGCAGAGGAGGAGGGCCTTGGGATTGCAGTGCCAGTACCAGGGATAGACTTTCTCAACGGGTCGAACGGTGCGACTGGGCTCAACGGTAACAAATTCGTCGGTGAGGCTTAACTGACAAAGAGAAACTGCTGATGCAAATCGATCTCGACTGTGCTCTTATACCTGTCTCGCATATTTGAACGGTGCAATTACTGGAATCCTGTTAAACTTGATCGTTTGGGTGTATACGAATAGCCAGCGCAAACTGCTTGCTTCAAGATAGTACGATGCAATGTCAAATGGAGTATGATGTGGCTGTGAGGCGTGTGGCGAGTGAAAATGTTAAGATGGCGGGAGGTGATCAGGTCTGGGCAGGAACCGACGCCTAGCGCAGAAGCCGGGCAGGGTGACGTACCCACCTTTCGGTCGCGCCTGCCCGCGCCTAGAGGCAGCATCCCTCGCGCCTCGACTCCCGCCATGAGCCAACACGCAATATTGCTCCTCGACACTTCAGACGACCGCCGGAATAATGGTGCGCATAACAGAAAGACGACACCATGGGAAATCGAACTGACCATCGCAGGCGTCGCTTTTGCGGCAACTCGTAGCCGGCCCTCGCGCCAGGCATGCTGAAGCTGGCCTCGACCTGTGCTATGTGACCGACAACAGTACAGTCGCCCCAAGAAGAATCCCAAGGTTCGCCCTCTGACAGCGTCTAGTAATCGCTACTTCGGGCCCTAGCGGCACCTACCCGCAGCGCGCCTATCGCAACCCGCTTGACTCGCTCGTAAAGTTTCTCGACTCGAAACATGGCGACAATTGGGCCATCTGGGAGTTTCGCGCTGAAGGGACCGGCTACCCCGACTCGGAAGTCTACGGTCGCGTCTACCATTATCCTTTCCCCGATCATCACCCGCCGCCGTTCGCCCTGATACCGAACATCATGGCCAGCATGCGCAACTGGCTCCATGAGAAGGAGGGGCGCGTCGTTGTCGTACATTGCAAGGCCGGGAAAGGGCGATCGGGAACTGCTAGTTGCAGTTACCTCATCAGCGAGGAAGGCTGGCCGGTGCACAAGGCTCTGGACCGCTTCACCGAGCGGCGCATGCGTCCCAACATGGGCAAAGGCGTCAGCATCCCCAGCCAACTCCGATGGATAGACTACGTGGATCGCTGGGCCAAGCACGGCAAGCTGTATGTCGAGCGGCAGGTCGAAATACTTGAGGTACACTGCTGGGGCCTGAGAGACGGTGTCAAAATCCAAATTGAGGGCTTCGTCGAGGATGGCAAGCTCATCAAGAACTTCCACACCTTTACCCGCGACGAGAGGGAGATTGTGAGAGGCGAAGTCAAGACTACTGGCATGGCACAAGCAGTGCAGGAGGTCATGTACAAGAACGGCTTCGGCCCATCAAAGACGAGCGAAGGTCCCAAGAATGGCTCCACTTCCTCCCTCGAGCAGCAGCAGCAGAGCAATGTCGATGGCGCCACCACGGCCGAGCCCAGATCGTCGCGCGAGAGCCTACCTACAGGCACAGGCGACGTCGTCTTCCGTCCCGCCAAGCGCGTAGTTCTGCCCACCAACGACATCAACATTGACGTCGAGCGTCGTAACAAAGCCGCTTTCGATCTGACCATGGTCACCGCTGTCGCGCACGTGTGGTTCAACACATACTTCGAAGGGAACGGCCCTGAGCAGAATGGCAATGTTGACCAGTCGGGCATGTTTGAGATTGCATGGGAAGCCATGGACGGCATCAAAGGCTCATCTCGAAAAGGCACACAAGCTTTCGAGCGCATAGCCGTAGTCTGGCGCGCACTTTCTAGCGAAGAAGGCCGACCTGGTGTCGTCATTACAGAACCGAAGGAGGGTGAGCCTGTACAACAAGCCGAGCCCGCAGATTGGAGGGGTACCAAGGGCGTGGAGCCGTCCGAAGACAAAGATCTAGGTGTCCGCACAGCGAGCCCACCCAACGAGAAGTCCGATATCAGCCGAGCGAACAGCGTCCGAAGCGAGAACAAGAAGGGTACTACCATTGTCGAAGCTCCCGGCCGGAGGGACAGCGGTGATAGTGACACCAAGCATGTCCGACCACATGGCCCGAATGGGGAAAAAGTTCTAATGGAGCCGAACGGTTCTGCTTCTCGAACAAGCACAGACGCGACAACGAGTGGGCCGACAACGGCAATCTCAGACCCCACGCAACCAGATCGTCCTGACAATTCTAGTCATGTTGCTAGCCATTCGCGATCCGCAGACCAGCCTACTGGGTCACACCAGAGCGGGGGCCACATTGGCGGAATTGCGGAGAGCTTGAAGTATCACGTCTCAGGAGCAGCTCACACCAACGATCTACCTGATGGAAAGCCTGAGAATGAGATGAAAGATGCGAAGGAGCATGGCCTTGGGCATATGCATTTCGGCAAGAAAAAGACAAGTTCGTAGGTGCCTATACCCTTACGGCGACGGCAAAACTCGTGCATCACGTCGTTGTCTTCGGTAATGCGGGGCGTTATTTGGAGCTGCATGACAGAACCGGAAGCTTGCGGTTGGCGTCTGGTCAGCGTATCACATGTGCGCACGAATCGTGCTTTGCGCGTGTTGCATGGCGCTGTATGCATTGATGAGGCGTTGTACAGCGCGCTTCTTTCGTTATGAGAAAGTGTTTTGGGTATGTAGGATTGAGGTTGGTTCCGCTGTTTCTCAGATACACCACTTGCTTTCGATGCACTAGGGAACAACCAATACTTCTGATTAGAAATTCGTCAACACCAAGAGCCCTAATGTATGCGCGACTGTATATTCGTGCAGCATGGGAGAAGTGAGGCGAGCTGTCCACGGGTGCTCGGTAATGCGCTCGATACCTAGCCGATGCAGCTACTGCGTTCCTTCCTGGTGAGGCAGGGCCACTCAGCGCGACACACGAACGACCATCACTGCAGCTCAGCAGCAGCCGGTGGGAACACAACGTCAACTGATGAGCCACTTCGGTAATATGCATGTGCGTAGAGAGCACGGTGCGTCTTTGCGTTACCGGCAACGCAGGGAAGTGTGATGTAGAGACAGCCGCAGCGCCACCGGACCAGCCCGCAGGTATAAGAGCGTCACGCATTCGACGGCCGAGTTCTGTGATCCGTATACACGCCCTCGAGAACGAGAGGTGCAGATAAACCATGAAAGATTGATTGGGGCCGGCGGAAGCGAGCGCGTCCACACTCCTGCAAGGCTGAAGGCATTGTCAGACGAGGCTGAGCTACGCTCTGCCTTGACATTGGTTACCTCCTCACCGGTCATCACGACATCGCTCTTTTTTCAGCCTGTCTATGCATTATAGCCTGCTCAGGCCAATACATCGACGAAACGTTGCTCCTACAGGAAGGTCGTGGCTAGGCAGCAGATTCGGCTGAAAAGGTTTATTAGGTATGTGCGGCCTCCATTCCACCACCACCCTGTACTGATATGGTGATAAGACGATCTAGTCGAGCACGCTGGCTCCCAACAAGTTCAGCCTTGTCGGAGTTCGCTATTCAGAGCTCGTCATTTGCCAGATCCCGGATTAGGTACTGCGGGGTAATCGAGAACGGTAATACAAGACTGCAGCCTAGTAGTGTGTTGTGTGGGCGAGAGATCTGATTAGAGAAAGGTGTGGGTCGGGAACAGAGACAGAGTGAGGTAAGGCTTCACTTTGCGGCTCTGTCTGTGGATATAAGGGTGTGAGACCTAGGTCCTCCTCTTGTCTCAGTCTGAGACTGTCTCATCTGCAATTGCTACATTTCCTGAACGACTCGGACCCAAGTTTACGTGTTACGACTTCCTCCAGGCCCCCATCTCTCGCAGCATACTCAACAGTTAAGCAATAGCAGAGAGCGAGCCTTGCATCTTGGCAGGTCTAAGACCCATGAACGGACCGGACAGTTCGAAGAATTCTTCCACTAAACCTTCCTTACCTCTCAAAGCTAGCAAAAAGCTTTCCGACACCTCATCATCGTCACCAGTCATTGTGGCAACCCCGTCCGTGAAGTCCGACCCGGACGACATCTCTCTGCACGAGCCAAAAATGGATTCTTCACAAGAGACTGTCGAGGCTCATGTGGCTGATACAGCTCATACTACCGATGAGAAGCAGGCTGCTGTCTCTGTAGAGCATTCTGAGGTGCCCAAGTCTGAGCTAGTCGTTGCGAAGAAGAAGAGTGTCAGCAGGCGAGGGAAACGCGCATCAAAGAAGTCAAAGCGTAAAGTAGAAGACACGTCTGCGTCGGACGCTAGTGGCTCTGAGAGCGACAGTGAATCGGAAGAGAGTAGTGAGGATGAGAAAGCCAAGCGTAAGAAGAGGCGGAAGTTGGCCGCGAAACGAGCAGCAGCGAAGAAGAAGCAACGGGCGAAGGCGAAGAGCAAGAAGAGCAAGAGCAGGAAGCACGATTCAGCAAGCGAGGATCAGAGTTCGGCTGATACTTCCGACTCAAGTTCGGACTCAGATTCAGAGGCAGATGACAAGAGCCGTCGGAAGGCCCTGCGAGCCAAAGCCAAAAAGAAGAAGAACAAGAAGCTAGATAGCTCTAGCGATGACAGTACCTCTGACACTTTGAGCTCATCCGACAGCGAGTCGGATTCTGAGGATGAGAAATCGAGACGTAAACGCGCAAAGGGGAAAGCCAAGCGGAAGGCAAAGAAAACAAAGAAGGCTGAATTGTCTGAATTTTCGTCAATGACATCGTCTTCCGAGGACGATCTCCTTGTGCCGACCCCGCCGCCAGAGCCTCCGTTACCAGGAGATACCCTTGACACACAAGTAACCAAAGTAAGTGGTCTGCTCAACAGTCTCAAGGCGCAACAAGCTTCTCTCAATGCTGCTGCTGCCGCTGCCGCCGTATCTACTACGAAGCTCGACAAGCCAGTCAAGAAAAACGCCCTCGAGTTCAAGCGCGTCGACCAGGTTTTCGACATGAAGATACGCGATTGGAAACTCGTTGAGAGTAACGCCGACCAAAAAGATGAGTTTGACTGCGTGTTCACCGTGCGCAGAAGACTCAACTGGGAAGGCAAGTATCAAGAGACACAACTGGACATCAAATCCAAGTTACTTCGCAACGCACTCCAGGAGGTTTTCAAGGACTGCAAGAGCATCAGCCTGGTGGAAGACATACCGCAGATTGACCCTCACACGCTGTTCCACTACTACGACGAATTGAAGACCTACATCAAGAAGACGCTGAAGCCAAAGCTGAAGAAGGCAAAGAAGTCGAAAGAGCAGAAGCGCGTCAAACAGCAGATTGCATCGTGCAAACTGCTTCTGAGTTACATTGATGAGGATTACACTGCGACGCGCAAGGCTCTCCGGCCCATGCTCAAAGCGGGTACGATCACGTACGACCTCGTTTGGGCATTGTTCAAGCCTAACACGATCGCCTTCACTCCCACGTATCACAACAAGGACGATCCGCGATGCTTCAAGGTCGAGACCGCGTATGAGTACGAGAGCTGGATGACAGGAGTCAAGTCGTGGTATGTAGATGGCAAGTATCTAGAGTATGACGGCAAGTCGTTTGGTCTTGGAGACCATCAGATTACGATACAGGCGTTCAAGGGCCACAAGAAGATTACCAGTCTCTCCGCTTATCCATTGAAGTACCACAAAGATCCTGAGGTGAGTCGTTGATTAGTTGATCGAGCGTGCATTAGCTAATGGTCTTTTAGAGCATCAAGAAGCAACTCGTCGACCGAGGCAAGAAGTTCGTCGCCCTCCAAGGCATGAACTACCGCCTCCAGAAGGGCATCGCGTACATGAAGCACAAGAACAACATCATCCGCTTCATCATCAATGGCCGCGTCATGGTCGATCCCGCCATCTTTCGCCGCATCAATCCCAACTATCCGCTCTCGTACCTCAAACAAGACGAGCTTGCACAGAATGAGGAAAACAATGACGACGATGACGATAGTGACGACTGCTGCTGTGGGTCTGACGAGGGCGAAGAAGACGAGGAGAAAGACAAGATGCGCATCGTCATGTGGAAGGACAAGAAGGGCAAGAAACACCCCATCCGCGTGCCACAAAGCGTCATCGACAAGGAAAAGGGCGACAGCCCCGACAAGCAAGTCGAGACCGACGAAGACGGGGCAGAGAACAAGCAGCAATGCTTCACCGAAGAAGAGTTGCTCATTGCCTCTCCGGTGGTCCTCGGATTCGCCTTCTCCGAGAAACTCTGGCTCGAATTCTCGCTCGCCGGCATCGACGACATCAAGTGGAACGACGAAGCCTTCTCCAGCCTCGTCCTGCCCAGCCGCATCAAGCAGAATCTCAAAGGGCTAGTCTCGTCCCACCGCTTCAACGCCGCAAAGACAATCGACGATGTCATCCAAGGCAAAGGCAAAGGCCTTAATGTGGTTCTCCACGGCCCACCCGGTGTAGGTAAAACGCTGACCGGCGAATCCATCGCCGAGTACCTCAAATGCCCACTCTACGCCGTCTCGGCAGGCGAACTAGGCACCAACAGCCGCTCACTCGAAACCGATCTCAACCGTATAATGGATATCACGCACTCTTGGGGCGCTATCCTCCTCCTCGACGAAGCAGATGTTTTCCTCGAAGCACGCCAACCCCACGACATCCACCGCAACAGCCTCGTATCGGTGTTCCTGCGTTTAACGGAGTACTACCAAGGCATCCTCTTTCTCACAACAAACCGCGTGGAAACCTTCGATGAAGCATTCCAGAGCAGGATCCACATGGGTATTCGATACGACAACCTGGAAGCCAAGGCGAGGAAGAAGATCTGGCAGCACCATATCGGCAAGGTGGAGCAGATGGGTCGTGACGCCGAGGCCGAGAAGAAGAAGGGCAAGGATAAAGACAGTGACGAGGAGGGTACTGCGAAGGAGGGGAAAGAAGATAAAGGTGGGAAGGTCATGAAGCCGTTTACCGAGGTGGACTTTGATGAGCTGAGTAAGAGGAGTATGAATGGGAGACAGGTATGTTTTGTTGTTGTTGTTGCGGTGTTGTGTGTGGATGTCGGCTAACAATTTCTGCAGATTAAAAACACGGTCAAGACATCGCAGTCGATTGCGCTTGCGGAGAAGTCGGTCTTTAGTATGGAGCACGTTAAGCGTGTGCTTGAGGTTGCCGAGGCTTTCGAGGATGATATGCGCGGTGGTGGGGGTTATCGTGATGCGAAGAGGATGTATACCTAAGGCGGGTCTCTTTCACCGGACGGACTGTGAGGTTGCCGTTTTGAGATATCTTGTGCTTTCGCTTGGATGTGATGGATGCCGGCAGGTCATTGAGCGGGTAATTCCTTTTGTTTATACGTCTCCTCTCAAGTATAATATTGCAACGTCGATTAGTTCTTCGAGGTTCATGCAAAGGTTGTGATCGTATGGCGTGAAAGGTTTATGACGAGTCTGCACGCCTCGTTCGCAGTTGCTTCTGATACACGTAGCTCTTTCCAAAGTGGCATCAGGGTCTTGCGGTGCAGTAGCTGTGGAAGGCGCAGGCGTGGCTGACAAATGTCATGACGCTGTCATGAGCGTTCCTGGCCGGTAGATTTAGTACTGCCGGCGCTTCGGGAATAGCGCAAAAGCCGACGCTGGACGCCTTCAATCTTCGACGTCAGCTAGGCATGCACTGCGACTAGTGGGGCATGATATCAACAGCGCGATTTATGTGCCTTTTCAACCAAAGTATGCAGGGTTGTCATCTCAGTTTATATGTGGTGTTGTTTTGGAGCTGTTCAGATCTGGAGATGACATCCCACCTGTCTACACGCGCCTGCATCACCTGCGGTCATAGCTAGCTATCGCATCTCCGCGCAGGATGATCCATAGCCTAAATTGACGCGCACCTAGGCCAACTGACGTCGTCTCTAGTGGTGAGTTCTAGGCCCCGTCTCAATCGTGCCAAGCAGCAGTGGCTGGTATCAACTCCACAGCGTCCCCACGCAACCTCGGTGGCCTTTTCTGGGGCGCGTCAGCTCCAGCGCGGAAATACTTCAACCCTCACTTTTATTCCCGCCAACGTTGTGCCCACTGCTGCCGCTTGCATCTGAGCATTTGCCCGTCGCTGTCAAGCACTCGGACCAAGCTCACGCGCAGCCCGATCGCCGCACGCGCTGCACAATGGATGACGAAGGCACGCAGCCCTCGACGAGTCCGGATCCGTCCACCACCAGCGCGACAGGCACCCACGGCGATGCGCCACCAAAGAAGAAGCAAAAGCGCAACAAGCCGACGCTGAGCTGCGAGGAGTGTGTCGAGCGCAAGACCAAAGTGAGTGCAGCGCGCTGGCGCAATGGCTGCCCGAGACTGAACCGACGCAGTGTGACCGAACTCGTCCTCATTGCTTGGCCTGCATCAAGCGACAATCAACATGCAAATACTCTGACATCGCCAACCTGATCGCGAACTCTTCGGACAAGTAAGTTCCCATGGCATCCCTGGACGCGCATCTGCTGAGCCTTTGCACAGGGTTGGCGCCGGTCGCACTGCGGGACGCTCCAGAAAAACGAGCGCGAGGCCTTCGTTGCACCTTGGCAGCGACCCGCACCCACATGGCAAGCCACCCGTTCAGGTAATACACACCCCTTGTTCCTGTCATATCATTGCGAACCTCCTGCGAACGCATGTCGGCCCAACCTTTCGGGCGCCGGTGGCTATTCGCGATTGTGGGGCTTTGAGGAATCGGCCGAACTCGTTGGATCAAGACCTGACGAGTTTCGTGGCTGCCGAATACTCCTTACCTGTCTTTGGCAATACTTCACCATCAATGACAATGTCGTGAAAAGCATCGTTCTAGCGGTTCTCTGACTCGTTTGACAGGCCCACATCCAGGTACCACCAACGCCAGTCAGAGCACAATATCGTAGCGTGTCCTTGTCATCATCAGGGTCCTCGCCATTCTTGTTATCAAATATACCGTACTCTAACCACACGCCTGCGCTATTCTTTGGTCTGGGTTCTGAGCACCCCTTTGCCAATTACTGGACGAGTCGCGGCGGTCTCGCTGAGGTTGTCGGCGTGCTGCCAGCTAAAGAGCAGGCAGACATTTTGGTAGACAAGTACTTTGACGCTGTCGACCCAGTGTACCCTATGGTACATCGCAGGAACTTCTATGCCGATTACCAACGTTTCTGGTCACTGCCATTAGAGGAGAAACATGCAGCAGATCCCGTGCTGGTTGCTCTTCATTTTGTTGTGTACGCTATGGGTACGCAGTTCATCCGTACCACTGATAATGCCGAGCGAGCCAAGATTGCCGAGTTCTACATATCAGCTGCTCAGCAGGCGTTGCGAATATCTTCGTACCTCAGTCGAGCTTCAGTCAGAACGTTGCAGGCCATGGTTCTGATAGGATACTTTTTGATGAACGACAACCATGCCTCTGATGCATGGGCTTTTGGCGGAGTTCTAGTACGGCAAGCGTACGCCATGGGGTTACATCGCGACCCCGACATCATTGCGCCTCGGTGCTCACTGAGTGACAAGCAGCAACGGCGGAAGCTCTGGCAAGCCATATATTTTCAGGACACGTTCCTTACCGTTCTACTAAAACTCCCACCAACCAGTGTTTTCTCAGACATACAGCCAGAATCCCTGAGCGATGACCTTGATGAATACATCCCAAACGGTGCATCGAACAATGGCACAACGGATCCCGTCATCAATCCCATGAGCATCAGCAACATCGCCTCGAACCACGATCTCTATCCTTCCTACGAGCTGTCAGATCGAAGATACATCCGCTCGATGTGGCACATGGCCAATCTTGTATCCCGCACTGTCTGTATCCCACGTTCGTTGGCAACGCCCTTGACAACCTCAATATCGCATAAGGCCGAGCTGGTAAACGAATACTTTGCGCTGCACAAGAGCTTTCCAGCAGATCTTACGGCATCTGACGAAGCCACTATACGTAGTATGGCAGAGACAAACCCACGCGGTTTACGACAGAACTTGTTCTTCCGAAGCAACTTCTGGCATTGCGTCATGGCCATACAGGCGGATGAGAACGTGGCCGAGGGTGTACCATGCGACGTCAAAGGTGCGCTGGACGCAGCTAGAATGGCATTGCAGTCTTTCTTCCATTTCTGGGAGTATCTCAGAATCGATGCCAGCGTATGGTGGGTGTTTCAACATCGCGCGTTTGAGGAAGCGGTAAGTGCAATCTTTGTGTATGATTACCAGGTTACTGACATGTATCTTAGCTCCTCATGGCACGCATCCTCGGTCAACAAGCGCAACCGCTTTCACCCAGTCACAACGGCTTGCCTCCTTCAGCAGACCCCTTGCTCAAGGAAGCGAAGGAAGATGCACGGAAGTGTCTTGATATCTTGGATCTCGTCGGCATTGCACCGGAGATGCAGAAGACGAGGACCGAGGTGCTCAGGACTGCGTTTTCGGATATATTGTGGTAGTTGCGTGTAAATATAGGTTAGGTAGCTGCGGCGGCAGCATCGATATACCTGATAATGTAATATAATTGGGAATTTGAGATCAATGCAAGAAGAGGTCAGGGAGGTTGGCACTGGTGAGAGACATGAACAAGAAGAGACTCCGGTGTGGGGCGATGCGGATTGACTATGTACATGCCTGGGCAGACAGAGCATCTGTTTCAGGAACAAAGGCCGTGATTATGGGTTCAAGTGCTTATGGTCGGTTGCTGCAGTTTCTGCCGCGGTCATCGTGTAGTCGGACCTTTGCCAGGCCAGCAGTTTGCTAGCCCGTTTCACGCGCCGTTGTGCGGAAGGACCCGTGACGTTTGTAAGCAAGATGTCAGCTATACAATCACCGCTCAGATGCATAGCTGAACGTAGCAGATCAAGCACCTTTGACTTGACTACCTCGGTTCGGGCTGATTATCGGAGTTGTACCTCGATATGCGGGATGATCGCGATAGCTCTGTGCTCAAGTAATTAGCTAGACTCACGCGATATACATACAATCGTCGTTCAGCCCAGTCTTGAGGCTCACCACCACGGGTACTTCCATCGCAATCACAGACAATGTGAAAGTTCGGAATCAGACATTCCCTTGATGCCCCGACCTCCTGGATCGACTAATCAATCGCGCTGGAGCGTTTTTCGACAGCAACTTTATTTGCATGAACGGTGTTGATCGCCTATTCCGTGTTGCCGATACAGCGGAAGACAAGGCTAGGTGATCGACGGTCAGCGTGGATCGTTACTGGGCATGGCACGAAAGCGGGATGGGGATGAAAGGGGAGGTGAGATGGGCCAGGAGCGGTGAGCGGCGAAGGGGGTTAAGAATGTGATCTAGATGATCTATATGATCCGCGCGGGCAGGCAGTGGAAGATATCGTGGAGGCTGGAATTGGTCAAAGTCGGGGTGAGCTCGTTCTGGCTTTTGCGCTAGCACCTGATGGGTCTCCTCGCGATGAATTTCGGTTGTCGGCTTTGAAAGTGAGGTGTTAGGTGCCGGTGGTTACCGGGCAGAAGTCTATCTAGACCGAGAGTGGATAGTCAGGTTGGATGCACAAATGTACATGTTTTAATGAACGTGCCGGTGTTTGAACATTGAACGTAGTACCAGCGCTGTTGGGTAGCATGGGGGCATAGATGCGGAGACATGTGTATTGATGCAGAATTCTATTACTATGGGGTATCGTGCAGTGCTTCAAATGGAAACTTCTAATCAAAAACGCTCATGGACCTTTGCGGCCTTTCCAGTCGATTTGCTGTCGAGAGTGGAGTCGCTGGCCCCTCCAGGACTGCCTCTTCTTTCACGTTCTGTCTTATGTTGGCGACTCTTCTCTGATATTTGTCGCTTCTCACGTTCATCTAGAACGGTGGACGTAACGTAGCCAGGCAGTCCCTGTTGCTGCTGCCATGCTTCCGATGGCTGGCTTCTGCCCAGTATTATCTCCTCGTCAGAGCTGGCGCTCTCTCTCCGTGCCCTGGAGGTAGTGATTGTGATCGACTTCTTTATCGAAGGCTTGAGCGTGCCCAGTTGGGTTCCCGACTGCAGCGGGCCGGAGTTCAGCGAAGGCTTACTCCAGGGTAAAGCTGAGGCCGAGCGAGTGATCTCGAGAGCCTGCTTCATGAGAGGCCTCAGTGTCGCAATAGAACCAGCTGTTATGCCCAATCCCACCTCTACTGTGCTCCAGATCGCAAAATCGGTTGTTCGGTAGAGGAAGTCGCCCTTGTATCCCTTCAATGAGGTCGTGTACGGGAGACGGA